TTTTAGGATGCTGGAGTGCTATAAACAGTTTGGTTAAAGATGGACGCCATGTTTTCATTTCCTCCCTCTGTACAAGAATGAAGCTAAAATATACAGGGTGCTAAACTCTTGAAATGTTCACGAGTCAATCTCAGCTGTCAAGCCATCCCACCCAATTTTTAAAGCATCAAATAACAAATCTGAATCAAAGTAACCACTTGAACATACAGTGTCAAATGAACTGGTCCATGCACCATCCACTAACATGGGGTTTGAAAAGGCTAAAACACGATAAAAACATTTCCATGCAAAATCTAATGGTTATGTGACAGAATGTTCAACAAGATATGCTTGAAAACAAAGTTTAAGCTATGAAGCAAAAAAATTAATGAAATGACTCATAGGCATTTGACAGATTACGCATATGCTCAAGATTTGTCAGCAGATGTAGGTGGGGAGGACAATTGGGAGACAAGAAACGTCTGACTCATCAGCGTCTTCGGACACGCTACAGTCTATTTGTCTGACCATGTGACAGCTGCAGCCGGCCAACATCACCGACCAGGTGAGACGTAACGTCAAATGTTTCGGTGTAACTTTCCGCCTCTGCTGTTGCAGTCGGCCGGCGTCTGGCCGGATGAGCTCTGCTCTTTTGACATGCTGCAACTTTTGATAGAGTTTCAGCCGCGTTGGCTGAAGTGTCACAGGGAGCAAGACAAGAGGACACAGCGAGGTTAGGAGCGTGGGAACTAAGGTGACAGACAGACTAATTCACCAACCCTGCTCTTTTAGTGCTGTTACGGGGCTGTCAAGTAGAAAATATGAATAATATTCATTTCTAGCTGTTCGACGTGATGCTGTGTCTTTTTCCACCCTACTGCCCACCCCCACCTTACTATCCCACTGACTCCAGAGGAAGTGATGATGGATGTGAAGAGACAGATCATTCCTCACTTCCGTCGCCACCTCCTATAACAATAGCCTCCGATCGATCATTCCCAGCATCACCCTGGGCATTCTGTCAAACCGCATCTCACATGAGCCTAATTTGCAAATTGACAGCAAAAGATGATGTGCTCAAATTTGGCAGGAGACTGTGGTAATCCATATTTGACTGTGTCTCTTACCCATGACAGAGTTTCTGCAGGTTTCAACCATTGAAACTTAACAGTTTTTTAGACACTCGTTACCCCTGTTTCACCAAGATATAGTTCCAGGGCTGGAACAGGCTCCAACTATTTGCTGGTCTGGAAGACAGAACCACCTACGTCAGACACACACACACACACACACGCACAAGTATCAACAGTTTTCCCATATATGCGCGTGCACTCAGGTCACCTTTGCGCCTGCAAGTTTTCACAGGTGGCAGACACAAAAAGTTTTTAATGAAGAGAAACTCCACATCCAAATGTTTTCCAAATGAAGTTGATAAATTGTGCAATGTTCTGAAAAATGACATCAGAGCAGAGAGAAATGTTTTAAGGTGCATCGGGCTTTTGAGCTCTAAGGTAGAGGAAGAGAATAAGAGCATCCTCGTCTTCTCCCGCACCCACACACCGTCTCTGATCCTTCTCCTGTCTCCAAGTCAGTGCCGCGCTCCTCTCAGCCCCTTGTGGCCTCATTATCACAGCGACACACTGAAACACAGCAGTCATGCCTGATGGTGAGCACAATAGAGTTTGCACACAAACACAAACACACACACAACCACACAAAGATATAAGGGCAGAAACACAGACACACACACGCACTTCCTTTCCATTCAAAATAACACACAATTTATTGTTTAAATTATCTTTGCTACAAAATTTAACTTTGTAACATTTTAGCGTCTCTAAGAAAACAAATCATTTACTTTTGCAAGAGAGCACAACAACATTTATTGACTTGAACGTGATAGAGAAAAGATTTGTAAGTATTTTCAAGTATTTTCCATTGAATGATATCAGCATATTGTGTTTTCTCTCATTCAGGAAAACAGTATTATGGTGTGAGTTAATAGAATCAGAGAATTTAAATCGATTTTGTTTAATTCCACAGTAAAATGAATGTCTGAATGGTCTGAACAGAATGTCTGAACACTTCTCTGGTCTTGATGACCACTTTAAGAGCTTCACAGAACAGTTTTACCATTCACCCCCATATGATCTGTTCCAAAGTCAAGACTTACATCTAGAGGTGACCGTGCTTTTGCCATCAGTACCCCTCGGCTTTGGAACGACCTGCCTGAGGAGATAAGGCTTGCTGATTCTGTCACTTCTCTTGAATCCCTTCTGAAAACTCACGTTTACAGACTTGCTTTTATGTAATTCATCTTCTTTTTAATGTTTTATGACATTACTTCTTTTGATTTGTATTAGTTTGCTTTCTTGTAATATTGAAAATGGATGATTTTGTCTTTTTATTGTTTCTATTAGTGTGAATGACTCTTTGCAATTACCACTCCTTCACCGGCATGGCTTTGGATCAGGATACACAGTCATGTGAAATAAACATATAAATAAGCTTCTTTTATAAAACTTTGAATTACTGATATTTTTTTTGTGTCATTTCTAAGATTTACCAACATTCACAGGGCTACAGTTGTGGACGGCTGTGGCTAAGGAGTTAGAGTGTGTTGTCATTCATTGTCCAGAAAGTCGGCGGTTCAATTCCTGGCTCCTTCAGTCCACATGCTGAAGTGGCAACAGACAAGACACTGAGCCCAAAACTGCCCCTGATGGCCGTGTGATAGAAAAAGTGCTGTGTATAAAAGCATATGAATATGTGAGCGAGTCTGAATGTGACTTGTGCTGTAAAATGCTTTTAGTGGTGGATAAGATTATAAAAGCTTGATATAAAAACAGTCCGTTTAGATATAGTCTTACACAAAAACCTTCCAAATGCCCTTGAAACACAATAAATCATCATCAAGACATTACTTCAGCGAAACACTATGACAGCAGCGAAACAGCGGAGTTGAGATGAAGTCAAGATGGCTGCACTGACAGCTCGGAGGCCTCACTCACCTTTTTTTAAGAGCTGCTGTTGGCTGAAAGCTGCACATTTATACTTTACTTTGTCCAGGCTGCAGAGGCCGTCTGAATCTGGTCCAAACCTGCAGACACATTTCTACAGGACGCTGTGCAGGATACACATCTGGAAAACGCATGGTGCGCAAAATAATATCAGAAAGTATTCGTCGATTGCGGTTGACAGGGACCAGGAGTGTAACCCCCCCCCAACATTCTTGGTGACCGGCCTGCTGCATACTTATTGTTACTCATTAAAATAGTGCTAAAATGTAGCAGCTCAGCTTTTTACTATGAGACAACAACAATCTCTTCCTCCATTAGCTTCTTATTGATACAGTTCAATGTTCTACTCATCACTTGTTTGTTAGATTCCACATTCACGCTGCTACGTCTCTAGTTTCCATAAAGCCTCACCACTTGAGCCTTGAACTGACTTCACATCTCTTGCATCATATTATGTTTTATTTCTTTCTTTGTCATTGAACTGATTCCCCATTCTTTAGTTATTACCTCCACCAAGGAGGTTATGTTTTCATCTGCGTGTGTCTGTCTGTAAACAGGGTTGTGAAATAACTGTTGGACAGACAACCACAGAATTTATGGGAAGGATGTGTTTTTAAACATTTTCATTGATTTCTCAGAGAGTAATTCATGGAGCTCGACGAAAAAAAATGTGCATGTTCAGCAGACTTATTTTATGAGTGGGGGATTTGGTGCACGTCCAAATAAATATCCAGACCCAGTGAATTTATCCTTGGCGGATGTACTGTCTCATGCTTTGTGTGCCGTTTGTATGTTTCTGTGCCGATACCAAGTAATACATAGATTACAGCTCTGTAATTAACAGGGCATCAGGTCAGCAGGGGTCAACCACTATTCTCAGCACAAATAAGAATTTAGCTTGTGTGGCTCATCGAATTCAAGAGGGGAGGGAGATAACAAGTGTTGCTTATATGTAAGTGTGTGTATGTGTGTGTCAGGAAAAAAAAACTGATTGAAAAGATGACAGCAGTTCTCACATAAAGAGCCATCGAGAGTGAGAGACAGGAGTGCGTCTGCTACCAAAGATAGAAGGATAGGGTGTGAGGGTGAGACAGAGTTTGGAAGCATTCGTTGGAAATGTAAGAAAAGTGATTCCCAAAGAAACTTGACTGCTCCCAATCTGACAGGTTAAGAGAAGTGAGGACACAACAGAGCTTAAATGGAACAGAGTGATCCCTCTCTCTCTCCCCCATCTCTGCTCCTCACTCTGACTTTCCCTCCCTCCCTCTCCCGGTAATTTCTTGATCCTGGTGCAGGAGCAGCCAGAATGACTTCCCCTCGCTGCTGAGGAGACGAGGCCCCCGCCGGATCTGAGGAGGAAGAGAAGGATGGAGGGTGGGGCTCGCAAAATAAAAAAGCAAAAGGGAGAAGTAAACAAGTGCAGGCAGCTCAGGTGTGGAGCGTTGGTGGAAAATACACTGAGGTGAAGGATACAAGGCCGCAACTGCATCACAGTGGAGGGTCACATTTGTTCCTTGTCGTTTTCTCCTCCTTCGCTTCCACAGCTCAGAGCCGGAGACAACCATCACTCGCCTCAATATAAGCAGTCCATCTGTCGCTCCTCCTCATACACACAAACGTTCACAAACACACACTCTCTCACATATGCCCCTTCATCTCGCTACAACATAGTGGGTTTACATTACCTCCATCCAGCCTGCTGTGGAGGGACGGGGACGGGTGGCAAGATGATTATTTATAGTACAGAAGAAGAGAGAGGCGGATGCTGGGACACACTCAAGCCGTTAACTTCTAGAGATTTCCCATCTTGGACTGAGCGAAATATAACACCATAAAAATGCCACAATCTGTTCTGTCAGTGATTCGAGGATTCCTAAACTCTTTTTAACCAATGGTGTTGAGAGATCCAATATCTAAAACCTTGTGTCAAGACGGCAGCCGCCCCATGAAAACGACAAATGAAGCATTTGTTCCCCAAAAAATGAAAATGGACACGGCTCGTGAGAAGATACAGTTTTATTGATCAGGGTTGTATACATGCTGTTTGTTATTGTCGTCTTAACTTCCAATAAAAATCACAGGATGCCAGATTCTGCCACAGCAGAAGAAAACAGAAGTAACCATCAAAGCTGAGAGCAGATGGTAAACGGAGGCTTGTTAGAGAGCAGCTCCTTCACTGGGAGGTTACTACAAGTTAAACCAAACATCAGAGTAGCCCCCCCCCCCCTTCTTCTTCTCTTTCATATTCACAAGTGCAGTGCCAGTTCTTAACCTGCCTGTTTGGAATGTTCTGTTCTCTTGTCCCGTGTTATTGCTCTGGAGCTACTTCAGAATTATTCCTTGTCATTAGTGAGTCCTCCTCAAACAGTTCTTTAACATGCTGTCACTTTTTTACTGTTTGTGTGCTTGTTGTGTATAGTGCAGTGAAGTTTGAACTTTGTGTTCATCCTACCTGGTTTAACTGCAGGGAATATTTTACAGTCAGTGTTTTTCTTCAAATGCAACTGAATAATCTTTCATTTGAATGATTTATGGAACCGCTGTTATTTTTTCATGCATTGCATGTCGGCTATTTCAGAGGTCTTGCTTTTACTTTCAAGGCTTATTGCTAAAGAGGAAGTTATTGTATGAGTGTTGTTACCATGACCACCCATCAATGTATGTGTCAGTCAAACTTTGTATGGTTTCAGAAAAAGAAAAGGAAAAACATCTGTTGACCTGTAGTTTGACCCAGTTTCAAATCACTGCTGAAGTTTATCAGAGGATGTAAAACGAGACATGTTGAACTGGGTCCTGTCTGCTGCAGAGCGCTGGTGGCAGGTTTATTAAATTTGTATTAATATTGAACGTATCGCTCGTCCAAATTCCTACTAAACTCAGCACTGCACTTCCCTGAGCCATTATCAAGACACATGCCAAGTGTGAATCTGATAAGTTGAACGGATTGCAAGATACACGTTCCATAGACAGACAGACAGACGTTTGTGGAATAGTGGGTGGGTAACATTTGAATCCCTCTCCCCACAAGAACAGACTCTCCCCCAGTCTGGTCTGGGGGCTGCTCAGGATGGGTGAATGGCGATGAGGTGCACCCCTGTCAGCGAGCCTCTTCCCCAGGACCAGGGGGCGGCTCAGGAGGGGAAACCCCTCAATTTTAAAGCACTAAAAATGATTGAGAAAAAATTATTGATGTTTTTGTTTGTTCCACTACTTCCCCATTATAAATGAATCTTCCAGTTCCTTTGACTTAACTCTACACCTGCACTGACACACGGATTCGACAAAATCAAATGCTCTCTCTTACACACACAAAAATCTAATACATTTACTTTCCTCCTATCTTTTTTTCACCCATTGCAGTACGGTCTGTCTCGTAACGTCTCCTGTGTTAAGTCGCATTTGTCACAACAAATAAAAATGGAAAAGAAAAAGTTAAACCAAATGCACACATGATGAAACATTTCAATTTATGTACAGGGATACATACAAGCCTGCAAACCAACTATTTTCTTTTTAAACACGCTCACACACAACCAGGGCATGCAGGCGTCCACTGTCAGATCCATGTGACGTGGATGTGGGAGCTGGAAGTCGGGGCGCGGAGCGGAGCGGACAGCCGGGCAGACAGGTTCCTCTGCGAAATACTGACGGCCATGTTCATCCAAGTGGTTTTCGATTATCGTCTGAGGAGTCTGTAGTTTATTTTGGGGCTAAAAGTCAAGCCTGGACATTTTGTACAAAGTGCTGTGTTTTTAGAAAGCTGCCACTGCTGCTGTGCATATTTCTTTATACGGATGTTTGTGCACCTGACTCCAGAAAGCCTGCTACGATGAAACTTGATATTTGAGGTATATAAAGCTGGTGTTACTACTAAAGAAAAGAGGAGTTAAGGTGTAAGTGCAGACCCACTGACAGACAACGACAACAGCAAACCATAAACAGCTGAGCTACGGCTGCAGACTGAGAGAGTACAGTCTTTGAGGATTTCACAAAAATAAAATTCTTTGGTCGTCATTCTGCCTGCGTGTCCGTGGTCCCGTCCAGCAGGAGGCGACGCAGTTCTTGGGGGTCAGTTACAGGCAGAGAGCAGGTGAAGTCCTGGCAGACGTAGGCTGTGGCGACACCGTCCTGCTGTGCCATGGAGGAGAGGACAGGCAGACGCTGGCACAGGAAGCTGTCGTCGTCGTTGACGAGCATCAAGACCTGTGCAACGAGATGAAATGAAAACAATGGGTGTGAGTTTAATGTGTCAAAAATAACGAAAAACTGGCAAAAAGCAGAAAAGGGTTACCACACGGTTAAAATACAACTGACTGCTAAATCAATTAAGACAAAGGAGTTATGTTTTCAACCCTTTCAGTTTGTTCGCTTCTTTTTTGTTTTGTGTTTTTGTCGGCAGGATTACGAAACAATGGATTTCAATGGAACTTGGTGGGAGGAAAGTATGTGCAAAGAAAGAACATGCGTCTAACCACACAAAAGGGTGACTCAAGGAATTCTTTAAGGAATGATTAATACATTTTGAAACAGCCATATTTAAGAATTTGATACTATGTTTGAGTCTGTGTGCTTTGGTGAAGTTTGAATTTGACTGTTGGACCTTGGTCTACTTCTATGTGTTCTACTGAGTGCCATTCAAGAAAAAAAGATAATTTTTTTGTATTGTTCACTTTCACCGTTTGTTTTTGTCTGACTGGTTTATATGGATTCTGGTCCTGGTCTCATAAAGAAAGAGAGGAAAGACAATAGAGAGTGTGCACGAATACGTGGTTCAGGTGTCCTGCCTGCAGCACGAGTGTTTCCCAAAGAGACCCTAAAAACACCGCTACAACAGACAGTGTTGACAGAGATGCTCGGTCTCACCCAAACAAAGAAAACGTTTAAATATATGTATTTATCGACCAGGGTGTGAAAGTGTCTCGTGGTGACGAGAAGAGGAAGAGACGACCTGGCTATCCATTTGCGTGTGTGAGTGTGTGTGCATGCTGTTGGACAGGAAGCAGAGCGAAGATAAAAAGGGCTGCCCTGTCCATCCCTAAGGCGTTTTCCTGTCAAACACGTGTCATTTCCTCCTGGCCCTGCACCACCTCTGGTTCACAACAGAGCGAGAAATGACAACGTAAACGAGTCCAGACAGAGTGATAAAAGCACGGAGAGGGGGAAGAGAGAGAGACAGAATGAGGAGATCCAGTCTGGTGATACATGTCCTCCCAGGTGACTCTCTGCCAGAGAAGACCTGACATTAATGCCAGAGTGTGACAGGCTGAAGGTCAGTACTTAATAGTACACAGATACTGATACTGGCTGATGCAGGAAACACCTGTAGTTTAAATGCACTTTGCAGTATTGTGTAGTGAAGTGCATATATTCTGAAGAATCTGTTGACCAGGTACAATTTTGGGTACAGAAGCCAACGGGTTTCTGTTTGGAGTTTGACCAATCACCTTTGAGCAGTCCACAGGTAAACCATAATTCTGCATGTAGCTTCCTGCCCTCTTCCTCGCTCTGTCCTTAGCCGATTAACAGACCAGTCCATCAGAGCATGCACTCCCCCTCCTCCGTCCATGCTACGCCTGCCAGCCATCATTTATCCAGGCCACCACGCAGAACTGTTCCCATCCTCTCCATCCGGTCTCAATCAGCCTGGCGGTCTCTTCCCTCTGCCGTCTCAATGCGTCCCGAGTGCTCCCCTCAGCCATTTAGGTCCTCATTTGTGCCGGTAGCCATCTGCACTTTGAATCCCAAGAACCTTTCGCCCGTCTCGTGTCATTGAGGATCGTCTCTGAAGCAGTGAGGATTTCTTGCTTCTAAATGTGCTGCGTGGTAAATACAATTCTCCTTCTCAGGCGATGATGAAGTGATAAAGTTCCGTCTTATCTTATCTCTACAGTGTTGCTGTTTGTGAGACACAGCTCAGGGCATAAATAAACATATTGCTCAAACAGAGCACAGAAGGCTGGAGGGTCACCACTCAACTTTTTTTAGACACAGGAGAAGACTGGTGAGGAGTGTGATGCAATTTGGTCATAGTGACTGTTGCTATGGAGACAGGAAGAGGATTTCCCTGCCTAGCCTTTTGCTTGTCAGCCTCATGCAGTCCCTTCCCGGGTCCAGACCACATCCAGCCACATGCCCCCAACTTAAAGGTCACGCTGTAGCCTGTCTGTGTCACAACCACACTATCTGCACACAACCCTGGGGCCTGGCTATGTGTCTGTGTGTGTGTGTCTGTCTGTCTCTGTGTGTGTGTGTGTGTGTGTGTGTGTGTGTGGAGAAACAGAGCAGCAGAGAGATAGATAGGGGGGGATAGATTATGTGTGAATGTATATACAAGTTTTGCGAACATGATGAAGTGAATGCAAAGTGTGTGTGGTCTAGGATTCTGTGGACTGCACAGTGTGTGTGTGTGTGTGTGTGTGTGTGTGAGGAAGACAGTGTGTAAAGCTGTACCAGACAGCACAGTTGGAGACACATGAGAGCACAGTCAAACTCCCACAGGGTTAATTCTTTTACACACTGGGCAACCCTGAAACACACACACACACTGGCGCATACGCACACACACACACACACCACCCTCTAAATGTCCCTACCCTGACAGCTCCCTCCCACTCTCCCTCTCTCACTCAGCTATACCAGTCAAGTTCAGACATTTTAAAAGAACACAGTGTACCTGTGTTGACAGTGAGCCACACACGCGTGCATCACACACAAAACATCTTCAATGTTAATGTTTGCTCTCCCCTTCAGTTTCTAACCCAGCCTGCATGCCCGCGACTCACAGGCCGACCTCTGTCAGCGAGGTCGAGCCTGAGAAACATGACAAACACACCAAACACACACTTTGGAGAGCTGCTGTCACACATGAGAAAGAGCGATGGCTGCGGCTGTGAATAACGCCGCGTGCAGCCAAGCATGAGGAGATGTACTTCCTCCATCCCTCTCAGCCTGTTGTCTCACACATTTACAGTGACCCACTCAGTCCTCAGGAGAACCGGGCACGTGGACCACCAACACAAGATCGAACACACATTCACACTAAAACGGGCGACAGAGCAGCACGGGTCACACGTGCCACGTACATTATCAGACATCCGTCGACACCAGTTTTGCCACCAGCTTCATTTGCTAATCCAAAACTGATCAGACCGAAACTGCCCAGACGTGCACTGAACTACGGATAATCTCCTGAAATGATCCGGATGGGCTGTTGGAGAGAACACAAACGTCTGAGTCAGACATTCTCCAGAGTGGCTCCTGCCAGCCCCTTAGTGAAAACTGTGGATAATGTCCGAGTGAGCCCATGTGAGAACGCAGCAGATTATCCAGAGGATTCACAGCGGGTGAGTGGCTGTGTTGATAAGGTTTGTAACGCGCAATGGACACAAAACTGGAAAAACCAAAAAATACAAATATCTCAGGATGAGAAAGAGGTGTCAGAAACAAAACAGACACAGACAAAGATGTCAACTTGGAAAGATGACAAGATTCGAGAACCTTTGGTGATCAGAGGAACGCCAGTGTCAATGTGCGGTGAATAAAAACATGTGATCTCCGTGGAGGATTTTATACATTACATCCAGCCTCCTCTCGTTGCGTCACCTCACACCTCAAGAGATTTCTCTGTTGTTGTGAACGTGTCTGACCAAAGAATCTCCTGCTGCATTGTCCGTATGTGAGAGGCAAACCCCAGAGAAAGTGGCTATGTTTGAATATACTGTATTGTCTGATGACACACACTCAGGGAAACACTGAAGAATTGAGTAGAGGAACTCCACGACTGCTTCTGCACAGGGACTTTCTAACAGATTTTGGAGCTGTCACACCAAAGGCTGTGTTAGTTCAACACCATGTCACGCGGGGCCATTATTCCCAGTGGAGAGCAGCTGCACACTCTGGAGAAGCCACTCTAGGGCTTCACACTACGCTGATTTTCCAGCAGGTTTAACAGCCAGAGCTCAATTTAAGTTAAATCGAACTCCACTCTGTGCATCCAATGGGATTCAATCAATGCCTGGAGAGTGAAGGTTTATTGCAGCAAAACATTTTTACAGCATGGGAAACTTAATTTTGTGGATGTCTCAGTTTGCACAGTTAAACAGAAAATCTGCTTGTGAGTTTATTGAATTGACTGATTTTTGATAAAAATGAATATATCTTTCATGGAAACATATATGACATCTATGTAATGATGCAGCGTTGGTTTGTGAGCTGTTGTTTTGAAGCCTTGAGTTTGACATTGTGTGCAGAAGTACCCATATTTGGAGAAAGGGCGGGGGAGTCTGACTGAGAGCTCATGGACACTGGAAGCCCATCTACACCTGCGACCTGCACCCATTGGGTGGCACTAGCCGTCAATCACACGAGTCCACACTCCAATGCATGGAGTGTTTTATGATCTATTATACTCTATATAGGACTAATTTACAAATTAAACAGGCTGCATAAGACTTGAAGACTTGAAACAGATGAGTGAATCTTTTCTTTTTTAAATTGAATTTTTTGTTTTCTAAAGTCAGGTACACTGGAGAGCCACTTTCACTGTGTTTTGTATGTGACTGTTCAATCTTTTTTCCCCTCTATCTGTGGTGTCTGGGGCGTTTCAAGGGACATTGCGGGCCCCAGGCAAAAGGGACCTGGGGAACCTACATTCAACCAAAATAACCCCTTCTCAAAGAAACACATGAGCTCATTCCCATCTTCAAACAATGCTTTTAGTGTTCAAATTATAAACAAAGTTCATATTATGCTGACACATAAATAAAAGTACGGCTGTAGTATACGTTCAAACACATATTTTGATGTTCTACTCAATTACAAAGCTTTTATCAGAAAGTTAGTGGCATGAAGTGTCACTACGGGGTTTCCAATAATGATGTAGTTGCAGTTTCCTGTACACAGCTGATCATAGACATTAAAGGGAGTTCTCACAAAATTATCGTAGCTGTGGACTGTCATGATCAGCTGTTCTTGAGGGCCTATCCTCAGCTTGGGGTCCCTGGCGATGTCCTGCTTCGCCTACATTGTTGCACGGCCCCTATGTGGTGTTTAAATTTCTGCTGAAAGAAAAAAACGTACCCAAGATGCTGTTGGGTTAAGATGAGCCATGATTTCAAATGTCAAATTGTGGTATAGCTCTGGAAAAACATGTTCATAAACACCTAACAAAAACTACTGGTTCTCAAATAGACACATACACAGTC